TGCCATCACACACGGCTAAAGTCCTTTGTGTGTGTGAGTATGTCTGCATCACAAGTGGGCAATGCTTACAGAAGCTAGGAGAAGGCGTTGGAAAATGCATCCTTTGGAACTGGAATTAGATTGGGATGGTTGTGAGCTACCATGTGAATGCCGGGAATTGAACCCTGGTTCTCTAGAAGAACTGCCAGCCCACGCTCTTAACCCCAGAACCACCTCTCTAGCTTGTGTGTGTGTGTGTGTGTGTGTGTGTGTGTGTGTGTGTATGTGTGTGTAGTATTTTTGAGTCAGGCTTTCATAGGTTAGGCTGGCCTTGAACTCACTATGATGCTGAGGATATCTTTTTAACTTTTTAATTTGTATTTTATGTATGTGGGTGTTTTTCCTGATAGCACGTCTGTGTGCCACATGCGTTCCCCCAGTGCCTGCAGAGGCCAGGAGAAGGCATCAGATGCCCTAGAACTAGAGTTACAGTTGTCAGTTGGCGTGGGGGTGCTGAAAGTCAAACACGGAGTCCCTGGAAGAGCACCCAGTGCTCTTCACGGCCCAGCCATCTCTCCAGCCCTTCTGAGGATGACTTTGAACTCTGATCCTCTTGCCCCAGCTCTTAAGTACTAGGATTACAGGCTTGCATTATCCTGGCCAGCTTTTCACGTCAGTGTGGGGATCCAAACTCCGATCGTCATGCTTATGATCCTACATGCTACGCTTTCTCCCAACTCTAAAATCCTTTAAAGAATATTTATGTGTGCACCGTGTGTGTGTGTGTGTGTGTGTGTGTGTGTGCGCGCGCGCGCGCACACGTGCGCGCGCTGGACACCACATTCCTATGAAGGTCAGAGGACATTTTGTGGGAGTCTGTTCTCTCCTTTTGTCATATGTGTTCTGGGAATTGAACTCAGGGCGTCAGGCTTAGCAGCAAGCGCCTCTAGTCATGAACCATCCTGCTGTCCCTGCAAATCCCATTTTTAATGTGCATTTTAAAGTGGGGAATAAGCCCAGGAAGGTAAAAATACCTCGGATCACAAAGCAGCCTTGGCTCGATGTTGACAGGGTTCTCTGGATTCAGTGGGAAAGGGCACAGTGCGTTCTTCCTGTCTGCCAGGGACTGGTTCCAGGGCACCCTTCCATACCGAAACTCGAAATATGAGGATGCTCAAACCCATAGATAAAATGGCTTAAGAGTTCCCCGGAACCTGCAGCCCTGTCTGTGCTTCACACCATCGCTAGATAATTTATAACACCTAATACAATGCGAGTGCTATACATACTTGTCACGCTCTATTGGTTGGAATAATAGCAAGAAAAGAGTCTGTGCGCGTTCAGTACAGAGGCAGTTTTTACTTCCTAATATTTCCAACTTGAGACTGGTTGAATCCGGGGTGACGAAGATCTGACTGTACTTGCTGTGTCTGCTGAAGGCGTGAGGAGGTGAACTGCACACCGCGTTATCCGGGGAGATGATCTCAGGAGGTGTTTGGGGAGTTGTGACGAGGAAAGGGAAGAGCTGAAAATGGAAAGGCAGCACAGGTGCCGCCTGTCCTAACAATCCCAGCCCTCAGGAGGCTGAGGCAGGAGTATTGCTTTGAGTTCAAGGACAGTAGAGGGGGGAAGGGTCTGCAGAGAGTGACTCAGTTTCTTACCCTCTACTAGCCACCTCTCTGCCATTTCCGACCAGGTATTGTTCTAGTGAGATGTAGTATGTGTATTTCAACCTTTCTAGGTACAAAGGACAGGTAATATTGCCTTGTAAAAATTTATATTTAGTATTATGATACGTGTGCTTGTGGGGGCACGAACCTGCCGTGGTGCGTTTCGGGGCGTGTATAGCTGACAGAGAACAACTTGTGGGAGCTGGTGTTTTCCTTTAATTTAATTTAATTTTTTTTTTTTTTTTTTTTTTTTTTTTTTTTTTTTTTTTTTTTTTTGCGGGTTTGGGGACTCAAACTCAGGTGTCAGGCTCTCACGACAGCGCTGGGGCCTAGGTACCGGTCCTCTCTACAGCGTGAGCTTTGGAGAATTGAAGCTTTGATGGAAAATTCGTTCGAGGACATCAAAAGCGGATAAAGGAGATTTCCTAGGTTCCTGCCTCCTTAAGTCTGACCCAGAAATCCTCGTGTCCAACTGCGACCCGCCCGCACCCTCTAGCGGCGCGAAGTGGCGCTGTCTCCTGGCATCCTGCGGGAGCGTGCACACTCGGTGGGCAAATGCAGCACGGAAAGTCTGAGGACTGGGAACGCGAAGTCTGCGGGACCCGAGGGTAGCTGGGGCAGGGCTAGGGGCTAGCGGGAGTCACCCTTCCGAGCCTGGGTGTGTGGGTGGGTGGGTTTGTGGGTGGTGGGTGGGTAGTGTTTCTAGCTCGGGGGCGTGGTTTATGGCTGGGCGGAGCCTTCGGCTGGGGCGGGGCCAGCCTGAAAGCCAGACGTGGCGCAGCGGCCGAGTTTGGGCGCAGCCTGCGGAACGTCTTCTGTCAGGCACAGATGAACATTCTACTGTTGCCGCCGCCGCTACTGCTGCTTTTTGCGGCCCTGGTGGCTCCGGCCACCGCCGTCACCACCTACCGACCGGACTGGAACCGTCTTCGAGGCCTGGCCAGGGGGCGAGTGGAGGTGAGTGCCCCTTTTCCCATCCTTAGTACGACAGTCCCACAATCCTGCAGCCCCTCATCCCCGGAATACAGCCCACTCTGGCCTCAAGAATATCAGAATTCCCGAGTCCCCCGCTTTCCCTCTTGAATGGGGCCGGAATCATCCCTTCTCTTTCCCAGCCGCGGGATGCATAGCATGCTTTGTGGGAGCAAGAGACATCGTCCTCGCGGCCTGGCACTGTGCACCCTAGCTGTGCTCCAGGCTTGGCCCTACCATGGGTCTCTGGACACCCAGTCCCCTCTTTTCCAAGCTATAATTCGGCTAAAAATGCTCCTTAGGGCCCAGTAACTCCTTCCCCCATTGATAACCCCACTTTTTTCCTGTTATTCCTCCCTCCATCCCGATTTAGTGTCTGGTGTTCCAGACTCTCTCTTCTTCTAGGGAAGAAAAGACCTTCCAAGCTCCTCCCTTCACTGTACTATGTGAGAGCTGGAGGAGAGGGCAGGGAAATGAGATACCAGCGCGCCACAGCCTCCCTGGACCACCACCTCCATCATCCCACGCTAAGGAAGTCCCCTAGAGTCTTCCTAAGTGGTTCAAATGCCTAGAGACTCTTCGTGGGCCTTAGGTTTGCTTTTTTGTCAAAAGGGAATGTGAGGCAGGCCTGAAATAGGAGGTTGTGAGGTCTGGACTTCCTGTCAGGATCAGGGAGTCCAGAGGGCCCACCCATCCTCTGGAGCTAGGGAGGAGCGGCCAGATGGTGTGTGGAGCTGGACCACAGGTGGCTGGCAGGGCTAGCTCTGCATGGGGTGGGGTAGGAACCAGATGGCAGGTGCCTCTAATAGGGCCCATAAGGCTGCTCTGAACTGTTTCCTTCTAGTCTGATCCCCCCATGAGGTTTCAAGGGCCGAAGGCCAGGGTTAGAACTCTCCTGACAGAGGGGGAGGACAATGTGACATGCGTCTCCTGGGCAGCTATCAGTAACACGTAGGCAGGAGCCCTCGGCTTTCCCTCATCCTTAACCCCGTGGCTCTAGGCCCCCCCGATTCCAACCCTGGACTGGGTCTCTTTGCCTTTATGGCCACACCTTGATACTGCTCTTTCAGCTCACAGCCTGACCCAACTCAATGTCAAGGATGCCATAGCCTTGTCTGTATAGGTGGTATGTGAGGGACTCCTGATTTATCCCATTTTCTCCCTCTCCAGACTTGTGGAGGATGACAGTTGAATCGCCTAAAGGAGGTGAGTGTGAAGAAAAGGGTCCCTCTCACTGAGTGGGCCGGGAGGGAATCCCTGCACTGCGATCAGGAGACTGGACCCGACGGTATATGACCTCACGGGGCCTCGTTTGCCATGTCGAGGGCTCTGGGGTCCTGTCCTCCAATGCTGTGCTTCCTCCGCAGGTGAAGGACTTTGTCACAAAGGACATTCCGCTGTAGTATCCTTCTGTTCTGGAGGAAGGGGTGGGGAGGGCACTTGGGAGAAGCTTCCGGTTTTCACGAAGAGAGGAAAGGATTTTCATCTGCCAAACAGGTGACTGTTTGACTGGCCAGCGGGTTCTGAGGAAGTCCAAAATTAAGCAGGCAAGAGAGCTTACTAGTGGAAGAGAAGGGCCCTTCACTTCTTTGAACCCTAATCTCACAGTGGACGAGGATTGGGTCCCCATCTAGGCTCAAATTAAGTGGCCAGCTAAGGGGCCCCAGGAGCCGAGCACTCTCTGCCCCGCACCCCCCTTGACATTTCCTCCAGCCACAACCTGGTGATGAAGCACCTCCCTGGGGCAGACCCCGAACTCGTGCTGTTAAGCCGAAATTACCAGGAACTAGAGGTGAGACATTGGCGGGAGGGGCCCCAAGACAGTGGCTAAGTGCTGATCCCGCCCTTCCTCCATTTCAGCGAATCCCGCTCAGCCATATGACCCGGGACGAGATCAATGCGCTGGTCCAGGAGCTCGGCTTCTACCGCAAGTCGGCGCCGGAAGCGCAGGTGCCCGACGAGTTCCTGCGGGCGCCCGCTAAGGACCCCGAGGACGCTTCAGAGCGCGCCGACCTGTAGCCCCGAGCCGTGGTGGAGCTGGGACCCCCTGCCAGCGCCCCGGAGACAGAATGAAGCGCTCAGTATCCCGGGAGCATCTCTCTTGCTGAGGGCCGACGCTGGTCTCCAAAGCAACGGAAATGGGGGTGGGGTGGGGGATTCCCCTCAATCCTGCCTTTCCCCTCCCCAGCTCAACTAAATCCCTTCCCGCCCTTACCGAGGCTCTTCTTACTTTCTGCGAGTAGACGGTGTGGGGAATCAGATAGTTCCTGAACACCCACCGGTGACTCCTCCCACTGCCTGGCTGAGGGAGTTGGGGGACACTTGGGGATAATTCACCCCCCGATTGCTGTTTCCCAAGGCAGCAGAGAGAAGTCAGGATCGTTGAAAACCAATAATTTATCAAAACGCTGCGTGTGTACAAGGGGGAGGGGTGTTCCGACAGACCGGGCAGCGGTGGGCAGGCGCACTGGGAAGGGAACGGTGCTGGGGTCGTGGGGACAGCAGCCTGCAGCTCTGGCGGTGTGAGCAGAGTGGCTAGACATTCTTGCCGCGCAGGCGCAGCTCATGGCGCCGCAGGTGGTTGTACAGCGATTGCACGTAGGTGAAGACGCACTTGGGGTCGGGCTTTTTGCCCATGATCATCATGTCCTCCACCTCCACCAAGGGCACACAGTCCACCAGCGTCCTACGGAGGAAGGGGCACAGGAGTGGTCGTCGGTGCCAGCCCGCTTGTCCTTTCATAAACTCCATACTGTACACCGACTGGAAAGGCTTTCCAGGACGGGAAATCCACAACCAAAGCCAGGCGGAGTTGGGTCAGGGAGTGAGCCATGCCCTACCCTAGGCAGGCAGGTTCTGGCTCCAGATCCCAGCCTCTCTGGAGGGCCCACCAGTCCTCATGGGCTGGTATAACGGAGCTGGTAGAGCGCCCCAGGTAGGCCATTATACCTCTAGGAGCTTTCCCCTTTGGCTAGCATCTCTCTACCACCAGGATTCCCCAGTGACTCACTTTCTCCTAGGGGACAGGTCACCTACTGGGCATGGAGGCCAAGGGGTATTTCAGGACTGTTTTTTTTAACCCTTGCCGTCGGCATCAGGTGGAGCTAGAGGGGCAGATGAGGACCCCAGCTGTTTCAGCTGGCTCACGGACCCTGCCCTGAGCTCAGTGGTCACCACCCTTCTGATTCTCCTTCAGAGAGCTGCACTTCACTCAGGAGGCCTCACACTCGGAAGGTTGGACCTGATATGGGAAAATGGCCCTCAACCCTGGGTTGTGGCAACTGGCTGGAGCTCCCCTTTCCCTACTGTAGGAACCTTTTCCCCCAACAGCTTTAAGATGGGGTACAAGCTCAGCTTTAGTTTCCTTCTTGTCCCAAACTAAGATCTCTTGCTTTGCCTCCAGTTTGCATTGGCCCCTAGTCACTTTTGCTCAAAGCTTACTTCAGGCAGGGAGGACAAAAAGCAGATTGCTGCTGGTCCCCAGACACAGGATAACCCAAGACCGCCTCTCATCTGGCCAACCCCAGGATTGTGGTAGGACTCGGCCTACTCGGGCATTTTGTACTGGAGGTTAAATCCAGGGCCTTAAGCTTGAGACACAAGCTCTCTCCCACTAGGAACCACCCTAACTCTTTACTTTCCGAGATTAGGGTCACAATAAAATTGCTGGGGCATCTTGAAACCAGTCTTCAGCCCAGGCAAGCCTTGAATTTGTGAGCCTCTCCTACCTCAGGCTCTGGCATAGTTGGCATCACAGCCCAGTTCCTCACCAGATCTTTCACAAAGATGCTGGGACGCAGAAAATCTCTCCCAGTCCTGGTTCTAACTCTCAACACTCATGGATGCTAGATAAGACTCTGCCCTGTTCTGTGACCGCAACCCTCCCCCATCAGTCACTCCCACTCCATTTGAGACCTCGGAAGTCCTCAGAATAAGTGACATGTACCTGGCTCTACTGATGACAGGCTATGAGCCCTTGGGGTCACCCCCACCCCGCATTTGGCTTGTTTACCCAGCAGCACCATGGTGAAGAGACAGCCTCTCTCTGGAGCATCTTCTGACTGCAGCTATCTTCACAGATATCCCAGCCTCCCTCCCCCAAGTCTGGCGCTTCCTCCTGCCCGTGGTGCCTTCCCTGGAGACCTTATAAAGCCATTGTTTATACTGGGGTACATGGTTCAGGCTACCCAAGTGACAAGCAAACTCCAGGCAGCTAAAGCAACAGCACGCAGCTGAGTCACACTTTCCTGCGGGCCAGAGCTACCCTAAGCTTCTTTCTCTTTTGAGTGGCCTGCTGAGCTAAGTCCATATATGACCTAGAGACAGCACCAAGCCTGTTTTCCACACCTGAACCTCTCATGTGTGCACATGTGCTCCTTCCCCCAGGGACCCTGACACAGGAGGGCACCCCAGGGCATCTTTGTTGACTCCACTCCTGAGTCACATTTTCCCCCAGCAATCTCTTTGCTCCCTTTGCACCTCTATCTTTACTTCAGTCCTGCTTCTACCTGTGACCACTCCTGAATGCTAGACAAGGCTGCCCGTTCTGTGATCCTACCCCGCCTTGGTGGGAATTTAGTGGTGGGGTCAGGCGTCGCTCTGTGGCCTGAACCTGCTTTCTGAATTCCTTATCTGCAATAGGAGAGCTAGTTCAGGTCGGAATTCTTTACTGTGGCCGAGGTGAGGTGACCAGAGAGGAAGGCCATATGGCTCAGGGAAATCCAGCCAGAAACATCCTCCTGTTCAACTGGTCCTGTTCCCAAGCTCCCCACTTTGGAGAAGGACAGCACCAGCTCCCCATATGGCACATTCTGAGCTTGAGCAGCATCTTGACCCTCCCTTTCTCCAAAACAGATCAGGGAGCCTGTCTTTCTACCTTTTTTTTTTTTTTTTTTTAAGACGGGGTCTTGCTAGGTTGCCCAGGCTGGCCTTAAGCTTTAGGCCCCTGCATGCATGCTGGGGTTACAAGCCTGCACCATCACAGCCGGCTCTGTCCCTTCCCTCTCCTGCTGATGCTCTTCCAGCCTGCACATCTCAAGGTTCACCTTTCAGAATGCTAGCCAAAGCACGTCTTTCCTGTTTGGATGCCGTTGACTCCTGGGTCCTCAAACTACAATCCCTTCCTTCAACCTCTCATCAAAACGTTTTTCTTCCAGACTATGCTACATTCTCCATCTCTCTTGTCCCTGGCCCTATTGGGCTTATTCCTGTGCCTGCAGCTCTTTCTCCTGTTTTGGCCTGAATTGTTCAGACCCTAGTTTAGTTTCCTCTTTTTTTCTAGATTGCCATCTTTGGCCTGAGTCCTGGGCTCCCCATCAGTACCCCCAAGCCCCGGCCTTCACTACTTATTGGCAATAGCCACCTAGAGTCCTGCCTGTCTCCTCTGGCTTTTCTAAAGGCTCTCCTGCTGTCCCCCCTTTCCCCCATCCCTCTGTGCACTGATGAGCTGAGTCCGATGAAATGGGACAGGTGGGAGAGGCGGCATTTCTCACCGTGGGGCCCCAAGCAGGGGTTAGGACTTTTTGGTTTTTACCAGCCCCTTCTGGACCAGACAGCGGTAGAACTCCTGGATGTACGTGTACACGCACTTCCAGTCAGGCTCTCGAAGCCGCACCATGTCCTCTGTATCCAGGAGCTGCGGGCAGTCCGCATGGGTCCTGGGGAGGGTGGGGGGGGCCGGGAAGGGGCAGGGGGCAGGACCCGGTGGAGGAAGGAGGGAGAGAGGCCAAAAGAGAAGGGACAGAGACACACACACATACACACACAGAGACATGAGTTCAGTTATGTTCTCAGTGCCGCAGTCTGCCAGCCTCCCGCATGCCCCCTCCCAATGGTGGACGTGCCGCTCACTACTCATCACTAATGGTGCGCGGTGCAGACAAGGGTGGGGGGGCCAAACCAGTCACAGGTGCAGAGAACTCTTGGGGCAAGCGGGAACACGGGGGGGGGGGGGGGGGGGCAGTGGTGCCGAGGTTGGAGGGGGGGGCTGTGCCCCAGGGAGGGGGGGTGAGGGAGGCGTGAGAGGAGTGGGGGAGGAGGAGGAGAAATTCTGGAGGGAACCAGAAGGGAAGGGGAGAATAAGAAAGAGATGGAGGAGGGTGCTTGGGTGCCGTGTGCAGAAGGGGCAACGATTCCAAAGTGGAGGGCTTTCGATGTCCTATATAGGCCTATATAGGTCACTCGGGCATGGTGCCTGGGCCAGGAGCCTCCTTTTGGAATCTCCAGCCAGGATCCCGTGGGAGCAGGAAGCTCTGGTGATAGTGGGAGGAGAGCAGGACAGAGAGATGAAGAGAGGAGGAGCAGGGGCAGAGGGAGGAGGAGGGAGAGGTTATGGACAGGGCCACCTGGTGGGCTTTAGCCTGGGCTGGTGGGCAGGCCTGACGTTCCTTCCTTCCGGTGGGCACCTGGCACACTCAGCAACAGGTGGGCATAGGTGGAGGAGGATGGAAACTCTCTGGGGAAGGGGGTCTCATATGCAGACCCACTGTACAACTGGCCACTTGCATGGGGTCTCAGGGCTGCTGAGCCCAGCTGACACCCACAGAATGGGACCCATACTTACTCAGCGGATGAGAAAGCCATTTCAAAGTTCTGGCGCCGGTTTTGTGGGCTAAGCTGCCCATAGTCAAAAGCCTCAGGGAAGAAATTGTGCACCAGGGCACAGAAGGCCATCCCATCACTCCAGCTGGAGGAGAAGTTCTGGATGTCCACGTGCTGTGGGAGGCAGGAGCATGGTCAGGTCCCTGAGGGACGGCTTTCCCATGCTTGTTATCTCCCCTTTGGCATCCCAGTCCAAGGCCAACTGGGCTCAGAGAGAGACCTTGTAGTTTGTTCAAGGCTGTGCAGGTGAGTAGTCAAAAACATGGGCCTTTTCTAATTCGGTTTATTAACCCCTGTGTGATGTGATCTTCAAGGGGAGGGGCTGCTGAGAAGCCCGGGCCCACTCAGCTGAGGCCAGAGTCATGTTCCTGTCACTCCTTCCCCTGTGTACAGAAGGGATCCCAAGAGCAGGATCGCTCTTTGAATCACGCCCATCAACCCAACCCAAAGGGCCTTCATTAGGCCTTCCTGGGATTCAGAGCAGGCCACGTGGTCTCCCTGATACTTAGTTTGCCCATCTGAGGATGCCTTTCATGTTTCCTGCCTGAGCTGTGGTAGCTGCGATAGCATTCTGAGAAGCAGTACCCAACTGAGGAGCTCCGCTGGGCTCACCTCGTAGCCACGGGTCTTGGCTCGGCACCAGTCCAGCAACATCTGCTTGATGCTATTGGCATTGGGGACCCCGAAGCTGGTAGAACGCTGTACGGCTGTACGGGGTGTTCCAGGACTGCTGTGGGGTAATGCGGGGAGGAGGGTCAGAAGACCCCATCAGTGGGCCAGCCTACCCTCTCAGGTCCCTGGTCTAGTCATCCGTGACCTTCAGCCTTTCTGTCACAATTGGAAACCTGCAGCTCCCATCTCTGGCTCCACCCACTTCAGGCCTTATCCTCAGTGCCCAGACCCTCCCACTAGCCAGCCCACACCCTCTACCACTCACCCGGCAGAACCTTCCTTCTCTAGTTTCTCAATCATGGCTTTGCGAGCTTGGGACGCTGAAGTCTTGGGCAGGCTCTGTGCCTTCATTAACTCTTTTTTCTTCTCTGCCTGGCGTTTCTCAAGGGCTGCCAGGCTGCCAGGACGTGAGCTGGTTTGGTCCTCTCGGTCAAAGATGCTGGAGGGTGACGAAATACATGTTAGGTTGGAGGAAGCGTGGGTCCACTCTCCTGGCACCACAGCAGGATTACTAGCTTGACGATGTTGGTGCAGGAAACACTGAAAATGGCGGAGCTCCATACAGATCCCTGGGGGCCTCCTGGGCCGCTATGGGTGCTCATGGGGCGGGAGAGGTTTTAGACTGCATTAAACACCAGCAGCGGCTTCCACTCACAAATGAAAATGGGGCGAGGGGGAGTAGAGGGTGGCCCTAATGTTGGGGAGTGGGTGTCCTTGTCACACCCATTTTACAGAGAAGTACACAGAGGCACAAGCACAGGAGGTTGGCAGCCAAGCTTGTTTGATCAGGCTTGCTCCCCAGGACTTTTCTAAAGGGCTGTGTTGTACTGCCAAGTTTCAGGCTTTGTAGCCCGGGCTGGGTATCCCAGTGACTGGGGAAGCTGAACCAGAGAGGTGGTAAGTTTGAGAACCGCCTGAGCTATAGACTGGATGACTTAGGGGAAACTGAGTCAAAAGAAAAAAAGAAAGGCATCTTACTGGTAAAGAACTTGCCTAGGAAGGCACAAGGCCCTAGGTCCAATCCCTAATACCTAAACAGAACAAAACGATACAAAGCAATAAAATGAACAGCACAAAACGGTAGTAGCTCTCGCCTCTTAAGACTTTCCTGTGTGTCCGTTTATTATTTCTAGAGCTGGGGAAGGGATCTAGGTCTCCTGTATGCTAAGCAAATGCTCTACAACTGAGCTCCCTAATTCGTAGTCCTCCCACTGTGCCATTTAAAGCCTACAAGGGACTTTGATGAGCTGGTGTGCTCCTGTAATTCCAGGACCCTGGAGGTTGAGGCTGGAGGATCACAAGTTCAAAACCAGCCTGGGACACACAATGAGACACACCAGGGGCCCATCTCTCCCCACACTGCCAAAACACAAACAAACAAACAAACAAGTAAGTAAGTAAATAAATGCAAGCCTATAATCCCAGATACAGCTACGTAGGTAATAATTTAATGCCAAGATAGGCAATTTAGGGACAGACCTTGCTTCAAAGTAAAGAAGTGAAAAGAGGGCCAGGGATGTAAGGCCCCAGGCTCTAATCCTCACTAGCACAAACAAACAAACAAACAAAAACAAAACAAAATATCCAGACGAGATGAATAAACACGTAAATAAATAAACTTCACAAGGGATGAGAAGAGTCTCAACTATTTCCACAGACAATGAGGAAATCATGGCCTCTTTATAAGATTTCAGATGACACAGCTGCAGGGCTGGAATCTGCATGCAGGTCACCGATTGAGGCTCCTGGAACCACCAGCGCTTTGCTTTCTACCGGTCCTGCTATCCCCCTGTGTACTGTGGGGCGTACCCCTCCCTCAGGAGTGCCTCCGGTCGTCAGCTTGCTCTGTGACCCGGAAGTGGTTTGTAGATGTTGGCAGTGCCGGCCAGCAGAGGCAGGTGGGCCTCTGTAAGGCTCAGTGAGAGATGCTCAGCAAGTGTCTGGCCCCCGCCAGCCTCTTCCACCCCTACCCTATGGTGTGGCTGAGGATGAAGGGAGATGACAGAGGCATCAGGGACACACTTGGCACCTCCTTGACTGCATGCTTATTCTCTGGGTGTGTCAGCCTGCCCCTCTGCAGAATGGGCACGCAGAGGTCTCCAGAGGCACTGCCCCGTGCTCACCTGCCCATTTTTTTGGACGAAGAGGAGGAAGAAGAAAAGGTCTTGGTTTGGACTGTGGTGCTGCTGCTGCTGCTGCTGCCATCTGTGGAAAAGGGAGTGAGGTGAGGGCCTGGGCTGCACATACTAGAAGGGTGATGATAGCCACAGTAGAGAAGTGAACGTGCAGTTGACGACACAGAGTGTTTGAGGAAGAGCTTAAGGAGGCGAGCAGGCAGGCAGGCACAGGAGAGAGCAGGTGGCCTTACTCTCCATGCGCCTCACGAAACTCGACTCCACCATGGTGGTGCGGGCTGTCTGTGTGCCATCATCTGGTAGGGCAGGAAATGGGACAAAGGAGGGTGTGAGGGCCACAGCGAGCCACTCTGAGCTCACCCTGTGCCCTGAGCCCGCTCAGCCTCTTACTGGAGTGGACGAGTCGCTCAGTTTTGGTAACTGTGCTGACAGCGGAGCCATCAGCGGCCCGCTGGCTGTGCCTTGTGGTGGTCTCTGTAGCCATATTGCTTCGGCTCTCCCCCGGCCGGGCCCGGGCCTCCCGTAGTCGCTGTTCTCGTTCCTTGTCCCTCTGGTCTGGGCAGGGAATGCCCCATGCATGCCCAGAAGGGCCGCCCAACGCCACACAGCACACATGCACAGACACAAGGGGACACACGGGATGGAGGGGAGGCAGCTCGTTAGAAACCCCTGTGACACAGGGAACCAGTGCCTCTCTAGGGGCGGATGGGGGGGGGGACCAACCACAACTTGGTATGGGGCTGAGTGTATGTTGAGGGAGACGGACTCTGAGATGGAAAAGGGAAGATACGACAGCTGATGTCAAAGGGGTATCTGGATCCAAGACAAGTCTCTATGGGAATAAGAAGCTGGGTCAGGAGGGAATAGCTGACCTCCAAAGAGAGCTGTGTGGACAGGGCAGGTGAGTGGACCTGCAAACCACTCTTGGGAAGGAGAGGAACAACTGGAAGAAGATTCAGACTACCTAGGCTCAGGGAGTGGGCGCAGGTATGGGAGAGGCAATCAGACCCAGGTAAAGGACACTTGAGAAAGAAGCTGGTGAAGAGGGTTAACTGGGTTTGTGGAGAAAGTAAGTAGGTAGGGGGAAGGGGCCATCAGAGCACACCTAGCACAGCAGGAGAATGTTGCAGAGGGCGAGGGAGGCATTTGGCTGCCGTCTGGGAGCGGGGTGGGGGAGCAAGTGTTCTCAGAGAGCAACTGTTTCAGAAGGAGACCTTGAGTATGAGGGAGAGAAGAGCTAAATCCAGGGAAGAACTGTAGGAAAAGGAAATATCCACTTCCGGGGTCAGAGGCTAAGGGGAAGGTGCTGTCAGGGGGGAGAGGAGCAACTGGGAGGATTATCTGGATTCAGACAAGGTGCACTGAGGAGGACGGCAATTAGATGCAAGGTGAGAAGGGCTAAGGGGAGTAATCGGGAATGCACAGCTGGACATGGGGCAAGGCAGCAGATGGCTCTGGGCAAGGTGACGTGAGAGAGGGCAGCTACTGAGCATGGACGTGACTCCAGGAGGAGGGGAGCGGCTGACGGACGGGGTGGCTAGATCTAGGTGGGCAGCTGGCTCTGTACCTCTCTTCCTCTGTCGGAGTTCACGGAGAGCAGCCCGGATGAGCTTCCGCTCCTCAAAGTTCGTCGTCTGGTCCAGCTGTGGATTAAGCAGTTGCTGCACACCTGGGGCCCGCTGACCCCTACCCTCTGCCAGCCCCCAGCCTGCCAGCGCTAACGTACCATCTTGTCCAGGACTCCTTCATCCTCAATGGCCATCAGCTCCTCTGCACTCAGGGGGCTCCGCCTCTCTGGGGTTTTGTCCGATCGGGCCTGCTCTGTGCCATTAGCTGCTTCCACTGTCGCAGAGGGGGGCTCTGCCGGATCTGGCTCCATCTACAGAGTGTGGAGAGGGTGTAGGGTTTACACAGGGATGTGGGTGAAACCTGGGTGGAAGAGGATTAGAGCCCAGGGCCGCTGGCGTAGCAATAAAAATAACCCCAGCAGCTTGCCAGGCCTGCTAATGTAGGTTGGCCATGTTGGTTTCAGGCCCACTGTAGTAAAACTGGCAGCCCTGTATAGTTTCCCACACATCCAGAATCATATTAATACAAATCGGTAGCAGCAGTAACAATGGTTTCCATTCAGTAGAAAATCCTATCTGTATAAGCACTGGGGATTTTATTGTCCCTGTTACGACATAGGGGAAACTGAGGCTAGGGCAGCTGAACAACAGGCCCCGTGAGTATGATGTGGCCTGAGGGCTGAGCTGCAGTACTTTGAATCCTGAAGTTGAGTTCCTTCTAATGTTTTATTTCTAGCTTCCTCCCAGGCAGCACGGATCCCAAGTCTTGACTGCCAAGGGCGCTGGACCAGGTCTCCAGGGCTAACAAGGTGTCTGACAGGGACTACCCCAAGCCAAGGCTCCTTTGAAGCTCTCTGCCACTCCCCTTCTTTCCCCACCTTGCCAGGAGCCATGATTAAGGGGCGTCCAGCATTGACCTATCTCTCCCAGGGGCTCTCCCCCCAACCTAGCCCCTTGAAGCCAAGGCCCAGCTCAGCCACTACAGCCCTCCCCCCATGCAGGACCTCTGTCTGTCATGAGGGTAAGGAGAGACGAGGCGGCAGCTGTTCTGGAGAGGCTTGGCCTGGTCAAGGCTGCAGGACAGCTGCCAGCGCAAGAGCCTGACACCTTCTTGTCCCAATCTTAGAGGGACAATCTTAGAGGCACCTCACTGTACCACTCCGTACAGTGAGGTAAACTGAGGCCAAGAGAGTCTTGGTACACCTACAGACACTCAGCAGAGCTGGGCTCAAATCAGTTCCCTCCCACAGGCTGACTTACAAGACTGCTGCTGCGAGAAGGTCCCGCAGAGGAGCTGCGGCGGGTGCTAAAGGCAGGCGGGTGGGCCACAGGGGTCCCAGTATCCTCAGCTGCCTGGAAGAGGGCCTCAGGGTCGGCGGCAGCCAGCAAGAGCTCACTGGGCTCTAGCTCAGACTCCAGGTCCGGCACAAGCGGCACACCCAGCCGCAGGCTCAGCACCTCCACCTGCCTGGTCAGTGTGTCTAGCCGCCGGCTCAGAGCTGCGGTCTCTGCTCGAAGCTCTTCAGCTGCCTGAGCCACCGGCTCTACAGTGGCCAGGGCTGCGTCCGCCGCCTGGGTCACCGCGGACCGGCCTGCTTCAGCCACTGCCTGCAGCTCCTGTAATGCCTGGCTCAACCGTTCCTCAAAGGCCACAGCCATCTCAGGCCCAGGCCCTGGTACTCCCGGCATAGCGCTAGTGGGGACACTGGGGTCCAATGGTGGGACAGTGGCAAGGGCTGTCAGAGTCTTTGCAGCTGGTCTGAGGGCGAAGGCAAGGGCAGTGCGCCTGCCCCGCCCCTGCTGGCCTCCCAGCCTGCCACCAGCCAGCTGGAGCAACTGCCCAAATAGAAACCTATTCTGGGCTCCTCTATGGAGGGGATGGAGGGGGATGGGTAGCCTGCTCAAACAGGCAGACAGCCTGCCTCACGGCTCAGGGATTACCGAGACCAGAGCCCCATGACCCACAGGTGGAGAAATGGAGGCAGGGAGCGGGGCGTGGACCGAGACACTATGCTGTGAGACTTCTCTTTGCTGGACTCCTGCATATCTCTGCCCCTGTGCACACCATTTTAGAAAGCCTTGAACGAGTCAGGACAATGGAGAGGCACAGGAAGATGAGATTTTTAGCAATCTGCTGGAATGGGGGTTTGGCCCTGAGAGACGTCCTCCAGCCCAGCCGTGGTGCTCAGATCCAACCCATGACTCTGAACAGTTGTGCTCTGGACACAACTGTTCTCCTCAGATGGGGAGACAGGTGAGTTTTTAGTGCCAGGACCAAGTCTTCATTCACCACAAGCGCCCCACCTGTAACCACCCTCAAGACAGTGACCCCAACCTATCAGGCCCTGCTTTGTTGCAGAAGGCTACTCTTGTCCATATTCTCTCCCTGTTGCCCCTCAGATGGCCCAAAGCTAGCTCCACCTGACCACCTCACCTCAGTCAAAGTCCCAGTCAGTCTTTCATACAGCACAGAGGGCATTACCCAGGCAGCCCACGGGAATCTCCTCCCCAGCTGAGCTCCCAGCCAGCTGATCCCGGGCTTGGGAATGAATAATAGAAGGAATACATCGTATTCTGTTCCCGTGGCACCTGCTAGGCTGTTGCCGCACCTGCCCGGTGGCCCCCGGTCTGCCTGTCTTCATCAGTGTCTCTACCCCGCCCCCACGGCAAAGATGCTAATCAAGTCTCCTGATGGATGAGGCTGAGCTTAGCCTGTGATCTGATCCACACTCTGGGTCTGAAGCTTAGTGTTGGGTGGAACAGGGCGATAGAGGCTGCCAGGGGCAGAAGGTGGAAGCCTCTACCACCTTCCATGAGCCTTGGCCTTCACATTTTTTCGTTAAGAATGGACTGATTAATTTAGAGGCAAGGGTCAAAGATCAGCGAGTGGATCCAGGCATGATGGCTCTCGTCTGTAAGGCCAGCATTCAGGAGGTAGAGATAGGAAGTTCACTGAGTTCAAGGTCAGCTTTGGTTATATGCTAAGATCTCTGCCAACCCAGGGTACAAGAGACTCGACCTCAAACAAACTCAAAAAAGAAAAGTGATTTCAGATATGCCTTTGGGCGATGTGGTGTGGTTCAATCTTAACCATGTCATTAACTAGCTGTAGATTATGAGCGGCGATGCTCCTTCTCTGGCCTCCTTTCTTTGTGTGCACAGTGGCGGAGGAGCACAGCAGAGAAAGTCTGCCAGCTGCACGCCCCTGAGCAGTCTCTGGAGGTGGTGAATGGTGGGGCTGGTGGAACGTGAAGAGGCTCACCTTAAAGTTGCAGCCTCCTCGGTTACCAGGGGAGGCATGGCTGAAGGTGGTGACGTGAGTGACACTGCCCAGCCGGGTCACAGTCCCAGGGCTGCCAACATGGGTGATGGTGTTCTTGCCCCCACTGCTGGTGCTGAGAAGGGCTGGGGGCGCCCGCAATCCCAGTGTCAACTCTGGTTGGGGAGAAGGGCTGCTGTTGGGGCCAGGTGAGGTGAGGGCAGCGCCCATTGAGGTGAGTGACACCCTGGACACTGGCCGCAGAGCAGGGAGTGAGGGGCTGCGAGTGCTCTATCCCAGCATTGAGAAGCCTACCTGCTCGCTGGTTGCCTGTGGGCAGCAGAACGCGGCCTGTGGGGGCCTGACCACGGCCATCCTTGATCTCAATGGTAAATGTAGTCTTCATACTGCCCCCTGGCTCCCCAGTGCCAATGGCCACGGGCAGTGGAGTACTGGGCTCTTCTGAGAAGGGGCTGGGCCCCCCTGCTCTGTTTTCAAGGGACTTGGGAGCCAAGCCCCGCCCCCTAGGGCCCTCCTCTTGAGGGCAGCTCTGAAGCTGGGCCAGGGAATGAGCGAGTTCTGTTTGCTTCTTGTGGGAGGAAGTGTCACTGGGACCTCGAGAGGAGGAGTTGCTGGAGGAGGAGGAGGAGGAGGAGGAGGAGGAGGAGGAGGAGGAGGAG